AAGCCGTGTCTGCGGACGTTGCCATGCGGGAATGCATGCATGTATGTATAAGGAGGGGAAGAGTGGTATTGGTAGAAGTCGTCAGAAAGAACGAAAGGCCAGGACGGTGTGTGCTCATCCGCTCCACCGCCTAGCCCGCTTCAGCTTCGCTGCACCGCACCAAGCCCATATAGGACATCATTAAAACTTGACGCCGTGGGAACGCATTGGTCCCCGCCGAATCATCAGGGGCAGAAAGCAGCCGTCGTTGTAGATTTTCACCAGGGTTTCCAACAGCTGCCATGAATTAAGGCTCCTTGCTTCTAGCCGTGCTCTCTCCTGTGCACCGTTCATTGCTGTCCAGCTGACAAGGACACAGACTCCAAGAGTGGATTCCAGAGATTCCAGAGATCATCTCCTCAGCCTTGGCTCGTCTGCACGAAGCTGTTGCGGCATTGGCGTACGCCAGTTGCGGGAGCATTCAACCGCCGCATGCTCGATGGCTCTCTTCCTCTAGCCGCGAAGTCGCTCTGTGCGACCTTCTGGCTGTCGGCGGCATGGAGCAAGTCGACACTGAGGACTGTCGAAGGCATCCCCCTTGCTGCAGCTCCCGTACAATGGAGAGTCGCAAGCCATCTCGTCCTCGAGTCTCCAGGAGCTCGGATGTTGCACATCATAGCAGCAACCCGATCCTGGCGTCGTCTTGCCTGCAACAGTTGCAAGTCGTGCCTGGCTGTAGCTCTATTGAAGCAAACTCCTTGCAAACTCAAGCAGGCAGCACATACATGGACTGCTCGACCGCGTGGCACGACTGTTCAGGAGCACGTTCAAATTCTGCTTTACGAAAAGTTGCTAGAGTATGTTTAACAACAGGCTTTGAAGTAACGGCAAATATTCCAGAGCATTCAGTAGTTACTAGTTGTAATTCGAGGCGGGCAGCCTCACGACTCCATGGAGGCTCCGGTCACACAGCCAGTTCTGTTGGCGTTGGTAGCGGATCCTGCAGGGCACGGGCAGTTCTAGCAGTGCAGCCTGGCCGCGTGTGCCTGGCGAAGCGGCTTCACGCAGGTGCTGAGCAACATGAGGCTTGCATCGCCTGCAAGAAACAGGCCTAGCAGCAGTCACAAGCACTCAGTCGCAAGAGAGGAAGCCTTCGAAGAGAAGTCTGGTTTCTGCATGACGCACCCAAGCGATGCCCAAGTCCTGTGCGATCTCACAAGAAGGCCAGGCATCTTTAGTCCCGGTCCCAGTCTCCTTGCTGGTTCTTACGATGCAGCCTTCTTTTGAACCAGCAGCATGGACCGGCAGCACTTTGTCTGCCAGCGCCCTGGATGCTTCAAAGGTTTGTCTCAAAAGTCGCGAGGGCCGCGAAGGGAGGATGGCGATGAGCGCCGAGCCGGTCGTCGGTCTGCAGGGCCAGGCGCGGCGCCTGGTCGCCTCGCTGGCCTCGGCTCCTTGGGCGGAGCACCTCGCGGAGCTGCGCGGCGTGGAGGAGGCGCTCCGCACTGGGCCAAAAGAGAGCCCCCGCCCGGCGGCATTCATCGAGGGAGGCAGCATAGAGCCTCGGACTGCCGCTCGTTCGCCACGGTCGCTTTCCCTCAAAAGCGGGCCCGGATTGCCTCGCGTGTGCCTGCGGTGCTCCGAAGAATTTCCCAGCTGGTGGGTGAAGCAGCAGCCGATCCTCAAGCAAAGCAATCAAGAAACTCGCCCTTTTGTGACAGCTCACAATTCCCGAGGCCCAGGCAGCACAGAAAGCTCGCAGCGGCAGCCTTCGAGCGTCCCAGCGCACCAGGTCGATTCGGGCACGCCTCTACCCGAAGTCTTCAAGCACGCACAGAGAAAGACGGCCTGAACAGAGGGTAGCCCTGTGTGCATGTCCAGCTTCCTTTTCCCACGCATCGCACGTGTGCTCTGACACTTCCTACTGCTGTCACAACCGACCAGAGGAACTTCCCACCTTTCCAAGACGCGTTCCCTTGTCAAGTCTAGTGGACCAGGCTAAGCAGGAAGGAAGCACTCGTGGGCATCTGACGCGAGAGGGCTTTGCCCTCATGCTAGGCGGTGGATGAGGTGGGCACCCCTCTGCGAGATCACAATGTCGCTAATGGCTCCGACCTCGGTCAAAGGCCAGACAAGGACAGGTGCCCCGGTGCCCCCCCAACGGTTTCTTTTTTATACCGCAGCCGAGGCACCGGGAGGTCGAAGGCCGCGGCTTCGAAGTCTTTGTCGGACTGGCCGGGCACGATCCAACCCAGGTCGGCCATGTGGCCGCTGTTAGCGGAGTTGCAATCCGAGTGCGCCTGGAACAAACTGCATCAAACGCGTATGGAGAGGGCTGTGGTTTCGAGATCCGTGCCTTGCACAGCCTTGGATAGGACGAGGCTGGGGGCTGGGGGCATCTCTTGCTGTTGCTCACAGCTACGCACACACACACGAAGGACGGCATACTTTAACGAGGTCAGCTCGCCAACGGCGCGGCCAAGCTGCTCAGCGAACTTGGCCGAGAGCTTCTTGCCTCATCGAGACGTCACACATGTTGTGTGGTCTACGGAAGGCTCGGCGGAGACCTCTCACTGAGCTTTCTGCCTTCAGCTGGCGTACCGTGCGGCATGGCGTTCAAGACCTGAAGAGCCCGAAGGGAGGCCCAACTTCGACTTTCTCCGACTCGCTGCGACTCGGCTCTCGCCTGAAGCAGCTTCAGGAGCTCCTTCTCGGCATCCTCAAAGCAACCGAGGCCGAGGCCCAAGAGACAAGACGAAAGCCAAGGGCTCGCTTCGAGACTCTGCGGGCGAGCTGCTGCCTGAGTTCGCCCCTTCCGCGCAGCCCGGCGGGCATTGGAATCGTGCGCGGTGAGGGACTCCCACTTCATGAGTATGTGGGCCACGCGAATGCCTTGGATGCAAGCCGGGCAGCCAAACTCAGAACCCCCCGCTTCTCTGCAGCCCGGGACACGGTTCGGCATTCCGCCACCAGGCTGTGGACCGACCACCACCGCGACTTCTTTTTCTGGAGCTTTCCTTGAGAAGGGCAGGTCGGAGGACAAGTGCCTTCAAGTGCCCCCCCCCCTCTGTGAGCCTCTTCTTGGTGTCCTCATTCTCCGCCGGCTGAGGAGCCTCCTCCGGCGCCTTGAGTGAGAAAAAAGCCGTGAGTATGCCTGGCCGCCAGATCAAATCGCAAATCGCATCTCAAGGTTCGGAGTCTGCGATGCCTAGCGATGGGCTCTCAGACCCCTCTTTGGAGGAACCTGCCAGGGCACCGTCACATCTGGGCCTCTGCACAATGCAGGCCAATGCAGGCTGCGGGGGCCTTGCTTCTGACAAGCAGCAGCCAGCTGTGTCGCCACAGCCTTCGGCCGCCCCTGCAGAGAGCGAGCCGGCAGGCCACAGCAGCCACAGCTAAAACGAACCGTGCGGCTCCAAGGGAGCGCCTGCGTTTCACTCGGCCCCTCGACGCTAATACTTACGGCGACTTTACGGTCTCAAACGAAGTTTCAAGAAGTCGACATTGTAGTCGGGCTCCCTCCCTCCTTGCCTGGTGCTCGGCCACAGCCTCAGAAATCTGAGCAGCCGTGAGGTCGTTGGCCCCATCAGTCAGGAGCAGCATGCAGCAGGAGCTACCTCAAAAGTGGGGCTCTCGAACTCTCCGAGACGGAGCGCCCAACATTCAAAAAACTCTCACTGGCGAGACTCCTGGCTCTATCCGGACGATCTCCGCGCTAAACTCGAGGCCAACCAGCCTCAGAGGCTCAGAGAAGCCCTATAAGCATCATAAAACCCCAAACTGGCCCTACAAAACCCTAAGCCCTAAACAATCAAAACGGGAGCTACCCTAAACCCGACAAACCCTAAACGCCCTAAACCCTACACCTCAGAAGGTCTGGCCTTCTAGGCCGCTTCAGGTCTCTAAGACCGAGCGCTGACGCCACCTCCACGCCTCGCGCCAGGTCCATTTTGGTGGGGCAAAACAAAAATTGGGGCAAAGGGGGCGCCTTCTCTTGCACATGGCAGCTTTTCATCCGTGTCAAGAAGGAGTGCATGCCATGCACGCACGCATGCACGCACACACGGAAGCACGCGCACGCCACCCACCCACCCACCCACCCAC